ATGAGATTAAAAAAGTGTCGATCCCCTTTTCGTAGCCTGCTTTCCTCAAATAATTATGTCACGTGACGTTTCGACTTTTTACAGATAATGGTCTAGTTCTTGTACGTTATTATAATCAAAGTCAAAAGAGTAATTTGTATTCCGGTACAATGTGAGACTTATATCATATTTCGCCGCAGAAAAGTGTAAATTAGTAACGAAAACAAAATTGTTAACATCACTAACTTGCGATCGGTTTATGTATGCAATATTTGCGAGTAAATGGCGAAATATACCGAAAATACAACTCTATGCCTCACACATCCTCAAAATACAATTAAATTTTGTTCACTTTTCCGGTCACGGCGAATACTTTTCTAAATTACCAATAGATCTCATCCAACATAAGGCGCTGCATACATTTTAAACGGCTGATTGACACGTACCTGCCGTGATAAAAATTAGACTCGGTATTATTTGATAAGTGCATAATTTTGCTTCTGTCGTTCCTTTCAATAGATGGCTTTAGTGGGATGTGGTGATGGAAATGAACAGATGTTGTACAATCAGCTTGGGCATTTGTTAACATAACCCCATTAAAACATTAGACAATTTCCGCTAGTGCTGTGAAATCCTTACGATCGGTAAGCAATTAAGATATAAGATTACATTAAGACATGCAAAGCAGAAATAACGATATTGCGGATTAAGTGAAACATTAACATTGGCGATATAGTTGAACTTCCGTGATGACAAACATTCGAACATGTCAACTGAGTTTGGTATATTGTACAGTTTGTGCCAAGCAAACGAAATTAGAATTAGGCATCGCTAGCAACAGCAACTCGTACAGTTCATGTGTTAGAAGTCACCATATTGTGAGGTTTGTCATATGGAAAAAGTTGCCCACGAAACTTTGGCAGCACTAAACTGCCAAGTTTTACTTTCGCCGCTGCTATCAACAGTTGTTGTTCCTTCTAATTAATATTTGTTTCATCATGTGACTTATTGTTTGTTTGAGTAGGGCTTTTATCCTTACGACAATACCCATAAAATGGGCCTTTCAGCGCGCCCACTTAAAACATGAGTCGTATTTCTTCTACGGATTTCATCCCTAGCCTAAAAGACGGAACCAGTAGTGGCCAGTGATGGCCAATATTTTGACTAGTAACTACATACAATTAAGTCTCGAATGTCGATCTAATATTTTTAAAATCGTATTAATAGATGCAGTACTGAAAATCGAAATAGGAAAGCAAAGCAAAAAGTTATCGATGTAGCAGCAGAAAACAGAGAATTTTCCGTTTCAAAAAAATATACTTGTTCGGTTGCGGAGTCGTATGACGTTTGAGGTCAATTCACTTTCCTTAGCTATTCATTCAGTAAATTCGACTTTTAAATTGCGAGGTTGTAAGACCCTCATCTGCTTTGGTCAGCCCTTTTTGCGCGAATCATTCCGCAGTCAATTGTCGTCGTAGCAGCATTTATATCTAATGCAATGCATTTCGTGGAAAGTTTGCTTACATTTTCTTTCCGGATAAATTCTATCTTCTTCTGAGTTGCTTATGTTATAAGGTTTTCAATCATTAATCGTCTGTACACGACGTTCACTGTGTACGAATGCAGATTTCAGACACGCTGTACGTTGGTAATTCACAGGACAAACGCGGCCGCTCATATGCTAATCATTGGAAATGGCAATTCTTTTTTTCGCGATTAGTCGACTGAAAATTAAGATTGTTCTCACAGAATAATAACTAAGTCTCCCCATCTGGCGTAACAGCTGCACAAACGAAATTATTAAAACAATTAAATCGACGTTTGATATTATTTATTTATATAGTATTGTGCTATTCTGGAATAATAGCGGTTCAGTTTATTTCATATTCGTGTTATGCAAATTTTTCTTCTTTCTCTTCTACGAGTCAGCAAATAATCAACAGCATGATTCGATGAGTTGAATAAAGAACGTTATATAAATTCAATTTATAATTTCATTTTTAATGTATATTTGCATAGGCAGAGCGACGATGCTAGCACACGCGTGATCGGAAGAAAAGACCGAACAAGAACGAGATGAAGGCAGAGTTCATTATTTCAGCATTGCCATTACCTTCGTCTTTGCCGGGTTACCATCTTACAATACATTGCAAGTATTATAATATATAGATGCCATCTGTCTTGCCCCTGATAAAAATAACAGTTCAGCCAAGTAGGCGGGTAGGCGCAAACATATTTCTTCTTAACATTTAAATCGTCGAGCTTACGGCATTATAATGGTGATGGTGTTATTATACCAATAAAAAAAAAAAATACACAAATCTTATTTCATTTCTATCGCGCGATAATGTTTCCGTTCAGAAATGTCTTATTCGAGCGTTGAGATTATCGCGAAGTTTGCACTAAAATGGGAAAAATAAAAACTCTGCTTCACCTTGTCCGCCCATAAATAACTCTAATAAGTCATATTTACCAAAATTATTTACCTCTTTTCAACAAAATTTAAATGAAATTTAAGTAACTCTACGTATAAGTCTTGTAAGTCAGATGAAGAGTAACTAAAATGCGTTTAGCCCATACCACTTAGCATCGTAAATATTTTTCCTATGTCTTTATGCTTCGTAACGAAATATGTTAAAAAATTTGTTTATTGTTTTGTTGAAAAATCTGGTTTTCAAGTGAAATTTTTATCAAAATACCAGATCTCGTTACTAAAGGGTATTCACCAATTTAAATCATTGATATATATGCATGTATCATATATATGTATGGACATATGCTGACGGTTACATGGGAGCGTATATGCATGTCCATCGTTAGCTGTTTATATCTTTATAAGCGGATTTAAATAATTATGACTTTTCATTGCATAACGTCATATGAAATTATTAAATGCGGAGACTAACCGGCTGTAATAAATCTCTTACTGTAGAAATGGAGTTTAACTGCCATACTATTATATTAAAAATAAGTGGACACGCAGGGACGGGTTTAATGGGAAAAGCACTGGATTTCTATACTACTGTGCAACAAAAGTCATACTCTTTTACTTTTCATTTCATACTTTCCAAAGATCTTCCATCGACCTTCGAGCCGTATTGCTTAGATCCTATTCAGTACGTGAAAGTTTGAGGAATATTCAAGGGCAATTATGAAATAGTTGTCATTTTGCCAAATTCTTTCGAAGCATCCATATGCAAAAGCAGACAAGTTCAGCTAAATTATTATATACATATAGAACAATAATTAACTTTATATTCTTCATCGCCTTCATCACTTGAAGTAAATCCAGCTTTTACTAATACCAATCCATTTATAATCAATCATTTTCTGAAAATGGATTGATTGACTTCTTGAATACCGCATAAAAAAATTGACCAGTTTAAAGGGAATGTGGAAAGTTAAGATGAAGCCCGACCATTTTCAGAAATGCTTCGCATATAAAAGCCTTCTTGGCAACAAGATCTAATTTTTAATATTTTATGATGCAACTTTGGCCGGAGTAGCAATTTGTCACATTCTCTTCCTTATGAGAACTATCACGAGAAATAAGACTTTTCAGTTTGTGCGGATTTACACAACACTCGGAAGGACTATAGATAAACCAATCGTTTTAGCATTATTTTCGGCATTGTCTTAACCATGGCCACAATGTTCAGTTTGTCTTCAATTTCCAAATTGCAAATCTTGCAGGCATGTGTATTGAAATTCGGAACAATGATATCGCTTCCGAATGGTATTGAATCTGAAATGAGTCGCATTAGTTTTATGATTAATTGCCATATTGCCACTATCTATATGAGAAAAATCTCCGATTTTAAAATATCTCACCAAATGTCGGTGGAAGGTAGCATTTTGGATTACTCAATATATTACGAAAATTTGATGATGAGATGGCATCTTTCGTTAGATTATACGGTGTCTAATGGCGAATTTGTTCGTTGTTTTTGTTGTTTGGTTCTCAAACGTCAAGACGGCCAAGATAAATATTAAATCGACATCTACTTGTGACTACTTGATGCCGATTTTGGAATCTGATGTATGTACGTGCGCTGCGAATATAAAAAGATCGAATAAAAGAGATATGCGTAACTACATCGACATAGAATCGTATGCGGATTAGATAGGCACCCATACTTCACGTAGCTTCGCATGCAAACAAAATGAATTGAATGAGTTATTATGCAAGTGTCCTTCGTCTTGAACAGGTCGACAATTATTTCGGCGCCGCTGTTGGCTTTTAGAAACCCATATTGACCTTGGTGTATTGAAATGTGTTCTTCAAAAATAAAAGTTGCGTAGTTTTTGGAAGAGGTTTGTACCTAAAAAAAATAAAAGAAAAGAAGAAAGAAAAGAGTTTCAGTTCACCTAATTTGTATTTATAGCCTTCTGTTGTATTACCCTAGCAGCCTTTCCGATTAAATAAGAAATCAAGATTTTCACTTAACTTCTTCATGGCTTTTCTGTATAAATTTCAATATCCACAAATCAGAAATAAGTTCATATTAATTTTGTTATGCTTTTCGTGACACCAAGGATGTATACATCACATTAACTAAGTTGGCACTTTTAGCCGTTGCAGCTTAGCAAGTCGTCGTCTTGTTGAGGCTTTTAAAATCGTGAAAGTTGAACTCATAAACTGAAAATTAATTTTCGTTATCGTGTGTACCTGATAACGGGTCATGTCGGCAGATTAAGACACGATTTCATATTCGAAAAATCAAAAATATTTATGCATTTCTTTATATAACCCACGATCTAAAATTTACGAAATGGATTTAAAAATAATCTCAATCGATTACGAATCGATTTTGAAAGAATTGTTCTCTAAAAACGATAAACGCCTTCATATCTTCTATTATATCGTCTATATATCATGAATAAGCTTACGATAAAGAAAATTTCTTACATATTCATTGTGCATATTATGTAAAATATCGTTCTTAAATATTCTTAAAAAAAAGAATATATATAAATAAAAATAAGTATATATATAAGTATATAAATAAGTAAATATATAAGTAAAAAATTCAAAAATGAGGTAGAAACGATTTGTGAAACTGTAAAATATCAAAGACAGCAAGCTTGCGAACTTAGTATACAACGAAAAAAACGTCAAATATGTCAACGAAGAAAATTTTTTTTGAATGACGCGTACTTTTCGATATATTGAAAAGCGAATTAATATCAATCGGAATAATAGAAAAAAATTCGTAACTACTCCCACAAAGTGCTACTAAAATTAATACGATTGCTGTCAAATGGCTGAAGCGGTCACGGATGAACGAGATGGAACGCCAGCGCATTTCTATTGTCATATGTGTGTTGCGGAAATAGGTGCGCCGAATATAGATTTCACATGTCCTTTGTGCGCTGGAGGTTTTATCGAAGAACGACTACCTCCTATTCCTAATATCTCAATTAATGTCGCTGGGGATGGCTCTATTGAGCAATCAATATCATTCGATATGGATGCATTACTAAAAGAATTGGCCGCATCATTTGGTTCGGACGGCGAAGCCAATTTGGAAATATCCATTGATACGGGCAACGGTCGGGCCGATACTGTAAATAATTTAGTTACTGTAACGGGTAATTTTGATAATGATGTAAGTGATAGAGGGCGAGTACGTCCGACCTTACGTTTTGATGTCGAAGTGCAAGCAACTGGCGGACAGCAAATGGTTTCTATGGATAATTTGAGTGATAATGCTTTGGGTCGCGAAGGTCTAGACGCCATTGTTATGCAATTTTTGAATCTAATGGAATTTTCGGGGCCACCTCCCTTGCCTCGCCACAAAATTGATGAAATACCTAAAATTGGAATAACTGAAGATGTGGTAAATGAAAAGCAACAATGCTCAGTATGCTGGGAATATTTTAAATTAGAAGAGACGGTGCGTAGATTGTCATGTTTTCATTTGTATCATGAAGATTGCATTGTTCCATGGTTAGTCTTGCATGGAACTTGTCCAATATGTCGTAAATCGCTGATCGATGGTGACAAGAAGGACGCCGTTAATGCGGACTAACGCGAACACACTGGCACTAATACCTTTCCCATGCAGGCCGTACCACGTGAAACTGAAACAACTGATATCGCTAATGAGATGACATTGGAAGTTGCGAATACAACAGCAATTAATAACACGAGCATCGAAGACGGTGGCAACAGAGCATCATCTGATCAGCGATCATGTCTTTTCATGTGTGTATTTGAAGAAATGGATTTTTTCGATAACGATTCGGATTAAATACATATCTCTTTCTGAAATGGATAAGAACAGCTCAGCTCAAGTTCTTAAGCTATGCGGTAACATTGCATTTATCATAAATTCGGACAAAATTTAAAAATTTTTAAAATGGATTTCGTGTACAATTTCTAACACAAAAAAAGAAAGGATAAAACAAATAAAAAATTTTGCACTTCATGTATGATTTTAAGCTACAATAAATAACTGCTTCTTACAACTTTATCTCATAGGTGTTTTTATTTTTCAGTTAGTCCGTAAAAAGAGTGCTGCCAAACGTCAAATATTAAGGTGACCAGAAAGAGCTCTTTTTGCACGGAAAGCGGGTAGATTTTTACTCGTCAATTCCTTTCGAAACTCAGCTCAACTCGAGAGAAGCTTTCGTAACACAAGGCAGATATATCAATACACTGAATTATTTTACTTAAATTTGAAATGTGATGATGTTACGCGGATATTTTAATGTTTCGTTTTCCCGTCCTATTATAATGCAAAAAATTTTTGAGTTCATATTTAGCCCGAGTTCGTTAAGAGATAAAAAAAACTGACATACTTCGAAGTCATTAAGATTAGATGTAAAAAAATTTGTACCTCAGGTTGAATGAATATTCAGTATGCATCTTATTGATATTTTCGGAATATACTTAAAATACAGCCACATATAAAACAAGTGAGTAAATTATATTCGGCAGGTATCAAATCTTGTGTATCCACCCCCATCCATATTAAAGTACTAACCTTTATCAACGTTATCAAGTTATTATTAAGGAGTCCTTTGATCGATTTGGTATTCATTTTCAATATCGACCTCAGTGCGGTAGAGATTACTTTGTCGTAGCTATAGTCAACGCTCAGTCGGTGAAGGCGGAACACATGTCGACTGGGCTGACATTCATGAGTCGGCACCTACCACCTTCGTATTTCTTTCTTTTTCTTTCGCTTCCGTCATGTCTTTCGGTCCGTCACTGCGCTACGCGAATAGGGGACACCTTCCCGAGTGATTGATCATATAAAAAAAAACTTTTTTTTTTGAATTTTATATGCAGAAGAATGCTAACAGCACACTACACACAGACGGACATATAGATACACGGATACGAAGAGGGGCGGACATGGCTATATTGCCTACGGAAAGCTTCCTTTCAGGCATTGCAAACATTATGGTAAGTTAAGTATGCCCCCCTCATTCAGGAATTAAGATAAAAATTGTTTAAGTTTGCGATAATGAAAATTTGAATGTGTAGCGCGCATATAGCTTCTCTGTTACGTCTTTGTGGAATGTTTGTAAATGTTACCAATGGTCCAGGAAATTACAGTTGATGTTATAAGTTCAAATGAAATGCAAACCAAAGCCGATTTCAAAACACTAACTTAGCTAAGATTCTTTTAAATATTTATACTCACAATTATACAATACGTTATGCTGGTTTCGCTCTTTAACGAAGTAAAACTGTATTGGTATTGGACACTTTCAAGAGATTGTGATCATAAGAATTCATAGAAAACATGCATAATTACAGAATATCTTTACTAATAACATGGACATGGAAATTGTTAATAGTCCGTAGATAATTAAAACACACATCAATATCTAAAAATGAGACCAAAATTAAAAAAAAAAAAAAGATTACTTCAACCAAGACGATAACGCTTCGTAGATTTGCGAAAAATGCACAATTTTTATGATGCAAAATTACCGGATAATATGAGTTACGTCAACGCGGCCAGACAATTCATTCCCACTCTCTACTGTCAATAAATGATTGCGATTAAAGCGTGAAATAAAACGTCCTGAATCGGATAACAGGGAAAGCGTCAAATTTGCGACAATCCTAGGACATACGCATTTCATTATTTATCAATGACTTGAGTGAGCTATGCAGGTAAGCTTTAAAAGCCAGGATCTTATCACGTCTGACTACCATTTGTGTTTCGTTTCGTACGTTATAGAGATAAAACGTAAGAAAAATATGCTTCAGTATATATCTATATATTATAGATTACATTAAACAATACAGAACGTAGCAAACAGCACGCTTACGTAATAGTAATAATTAGTTTGCACATGTATACGTTTAAGCAGGTTTTATATCTGAAGTGAAATGATACCGTTGTTCAAGAGCAATGCATAAGGAAATCATACATAATTTCTAATAATTCCAATATACACTGTAATAATACATCTAAACAAATATACATGATATGATGTATATAAGCATTACACATACATACATACATACATACATACATACATACACACAAACAAGCATATTTATTAGAAGAGATGCTTGGATAATGCTTGGAGAGTATGTGCCTAGATAGCGTAATTTATTGTTGCTTGACCATAGAATCGTGAAATAAATACAAAAATTAAAAAGAAAATTAGACAAGAGTGTAGCAATTGTAAACAAATTCTTAAAGAAAAGTAAAAAAAAAAAAATGAAAACAAAAAAAAAAAAAAGAAAAGAAAAAAAGACTAACCTAAGCGATAAAACTTAAACAATATATAGCTTCGCTTACGGGAGACTCCTAACAGAAACAGAAAACAAAAAACAGAAAATAAACCACACATTACCGCGAGAGAAGAGTGAATTATCAAGAAAAAATTAAACTAAACCATAAACACACAACAAACAACACGACTTTAACATTTACAACGAGCTAACAACAAAACTCAACAGAGCATTGAAAAGCGCAACAATAAAAAAGAAAAGAAAAATCAAGAAAAACAACTTGACTTAGTCTCTCCATAAAGCAAGAGCCACTTTACCCACCCTGCGGCTAAACATTTAAAGGCATCCACACAAACATACACATTGACTGTGTCTTAAGTAAAAAAGAGTCAATCGACCGACCGATCATTCAGTCCAAAAGCGAGGCATTATCTAGTGGAGGCATTAGCGGCTTATTAGCCACCGCAGACAAACCGTAAGCCAGTAAAGCAAGCAAGAGATGAAGGAAGAAAAAAATAAAGAGGCAATCACATGGTGTTTTAAACTTAAAAGTTTTCATCAATTTCTTTTCGCATTTCTTTAGTGTAATGTTTTAACTGCGATTCAAATATATACTGAACGTGGTTACGAACACACGTGCATCCCTAAGACGCAACAATTAAGTTAAAAAAGTGTTAAATAAGAAATAAGCGAGAGATAGAGAGAGAGAGAGAGATGGAAAGAAGCAAAAAATTAATAAATGAAAAATAAAAGAAATGAAAAAAATGATAAAATGTGTCATTAGCGGACCAATAAGTGACAGATGATATCCAGAGTAAATGATTATATGATAAACAACTCAATAAAAGGAAGAGAAAGCATGAAGCATTTGCATCTCGTTTCTCCAATTTGTCGAAATTCATTTTCTTTGCTTACTGTACATTAAATAAAAAAAAAAATAAATAAATAAAATAAAAAAAATTATAATAAATAAATAAATAAAGAGGTATTAATAAAATCAAAAGATTTGACTTTCTTAAATTGTTGCATTTCCATATAGCCATATGTATATGTGTGTACTTCGGGAAAAAGTTTAATTTTTCTTACGATATAAAAAACAAAGAAACAAAGCAAATTTATTAATTTCATCACAAATGTTTGATGACGAAATTTGCATTTAATTGAAAACATTTCATTAAACTGCTAAACGGTGAGTTGCGCTAATAACTTTGCATGTCTGCTGTGTAGCAATTGTTGTTGCTTCTTTTATTTTTTATTTTTTATCTTTACTAGATTAATACGGAAATCAATGCAGTGCAGTACTGTAAGATGTACGTGCCTCAATGCATTGGTTCATCGTATAAAAAAAATTGAGAAATATTTCATTTTTTTCTCTTCTACCGCGAATGCTGCGTACATGAATCAGGACAAAACGCTGACATTCATTGATTCTTCCACATATATGTATATATATTGACCGTATGGTATATGGTAATATAATATTGCAAACACATAATATCATCCAGTCTAAAAAATACTAAACTCAATATCGATTACTTTGCACGACTTGAAATAAAAGACATTAACGGCTTCAAGTTAAGTTATTAAAATGAATGATCAAAAAATGCTGGGTCATGCTATAGTCAATTGGTTTTTTTTTTTTTTTTTTGGTGACGGCTTTGCAATATTAGAGAATTTGTATTGGGAACTCTATCAAATATTTACGATGCTATGATAAATTTAAATAGCGGAATCGATATTGTCTTGTCCGTGTACCTGTTCACTGAACACTTGACAGAAAATTGAAAACTTTGTCTAAAAAACAAAATTGATCTCAAATTGTTTTCACAACTAAGTTACGATGTAACGATTTAGCATAGGCACTTGCTCTGGGATCTTCAATTCAATTTCAATTTTTTTTCATTGTTCACATGAGTACACACACAAGTAGGTAAGAATCACGACTACGAAGTCCGTGTTCGTAAGTTAAAATTTCAAGAAAGAGAGAATGAGTGCATTTTGATTGCAGCTACGCGGAATGGTTAGACGGTGAAGGCATACCACTTACCGGCCCTGCGGCCACCATATTCATTTCCCTTTCCCTTTCTTCGCTTCGGTATTAGGGGACCGTCTCTGACCGATTGCTCATATTAAAAAAAAAAAAAAACAAAAAAAGAAAGACATTAAGACATTGAAGTTGGTTTTCAAATTTTTTTCATGTCCTAATCAAATTTTCAAATCGTTAACAAGTAGTCACTCAAAAGCTCTCGCATAATAAAACAAATGGTTTTTTTATGTGTGCAATTACCTAAAGGCTGTTACTATCTGCTACTATCAAATATCGTTTATTACTTGCATTATGTTTTTCACGCGTTACGTTTGACACACTATCTGCAGATTGTCTGCTTGAAACGCCCAACGAAAAGCACACTTTCAAAAACATTAATTAACTAATTGTAGAGGTTTGTGCGATCGTCTTGGAAATAAATATCACATCTTAAGTCGTACATCTAATGGAATGGTGCTTCTGACTTTCTGGGATCGCTCGTTTCTTCCGTTTTCTGTCTTCTTCAATGTTTTTTCTTCGAAGCATTTTTTAGCCATCGCCTTCCTTTCCATTTCCATTCATTCCTTGTTTGACTTTGACTCATCTGCGGTACACGATTTCATAGCTAACTTCCATTTTATTATTCGGCATAAAAACAAGATTTTTTATTTCAAGTCGAACTGAGTTTCCCAAGTACAATGATATACCGATCAAAAAACGTTGGGCTCGTTCGTACAATTCAGTCTAACATCTCTTTATCACTTACACGGTGACCCCTTCAGTATTTGATATTGAAAAATGCGCAAAACTAAACAAGTCTTCAATAGCTTAGCGAGAATTGTGCTGAGAAGTTGTACACTCACTCTCCGTTGAACATAATTAATTTTGAATATTTAATATTCAAGGATGTATGTATAAAAAATTTGTCTTTCTCTTTGCAACATCCGTGTCCAAAAATACGCATCAAATGTCTAATGGAATACGTATAGTCGTGATCAAAGTTACAATCCTGAACCAATTTAGCTTAGGTCAGTCTATCTACCCATCCATTTTTTGCAAAAACAATAATGCTTGGCGTATATATATTTAATTCCGTCCGTGCTCGATATTCATATCTAAAGTTGTTAAAATATTTCCTAAACCCATCGCAAATCGGTCGAGCATGCCAGATCACCATTCAAAAAAGTCATGCCTGCAGTGTTCTAGAATAAATACGAGATTGTGTATATTGGCGGACGGCATTTTAAGCAAGGGTAGCTGTCACAATTAATGTCGAGAAAATGAAAACGTTTGATTCCCTGTTCACGCACTTGCCGCTTGTCAACTTGTAATTATTGCGAAACAGTGCAAACGACCTAGCACTCGCTAATTTTTATTCGTGTGCAACACTGCCACCAGATTTACGTCAGCCCAATCAGTCAATTTGACTATTTCTTTACTTTAGACTTAAAAATTCTGCGTAACAAAGTATATACCTTAATGATATAATGCAGCAAACTTATGTGCTTACACTTTTTTTCTGGAACACGCCCATTTTGTTATTTGCAAATTTTGTGTAAACTATTTTTATGAAAACCCGTCAATTGAACAGATCGGACGTGGATGTGTTAGTAAATCGATTTTTGGACTGAACATGAAGATCGATCGAAAGCTATACGAGAGAATATGAATAAATTCTTTTCCAATTTAATTGTAATTGGGTGGAGAAAGCGGTAAAAATCGAATTGAAATCATTTCAGTCATTTTATTGTGGATGTCTTAATAAACCGATTTGAACCATATTTGCACATAATATATAAGTTATCCTATCCATTTGGGCGTTAATATATTCACGGAGTTATGTTATATCACGACCAATTTTTAACCTTGTATTGTTAACATATCAAGGAATGTTGTGTCAAATTTTAGTTTTCCATCTTCATTTTTTCGATTGTAACGATTCACAGCAACTACTCGTCAACACTTGTCGCGAAAAGTCGTCGGTTTTCACAAAACTAGGTACAAGCAAAACGTCTGTAAATCGAGAGTTAAAAATAAAAATCTCGGTTAAATTTCTGGATAGTCTTCCATCCTATGTACTTATGCAGCGTCTTGTATTGAGAC